TTTTAAATAAAAAATGGACAGAGAACTAAAAAAACAGAAGACAATATTATTGTTCCATACTTAAAAAATAGTGGGAAAAAATTGCCACTAACCCTGAAAGCGCGCCACTGGTAGAATTTTTCAAAAGTTAATTTATGTCAAAATGTACTTTCTTAAAGAGCATATTTAGTCACCAAATTTGAAAAAAAATATCAGAAGGCATTTATGAAATTTTGAATTTTGAGTTCAAACTTTTAACACCCTGTATCTCGATAACTAAGCCCTTTAAGGATTTTTGTTTCTATATCAAAATAAATCAATTAACGAGAGCTCCTGGGGTAGAGCGTTGTCGGTCGAATATACTATAACACCATGTATAAGAAGATAACAAATTAAGTGGGTAAATAATTATGTCTAATAAAGAACTGTAGGTATGCGATTCTTACATCGCAAAAATAGATAAAACATCTTATCAAACTCAAATAAACACATAAACATAAAATATATAAGTAAAAAAGCCGTCACACATACAAAATCGAGTCAAAATAAACACTTGACACACTTCCCTCGAAAAACACAAACAACGAAATTCAGTTAAACGAGATCGTTAATTTCATTGTCGCACGTACGTCACACCGTTTCATACTAACTAAATAAAATTTGTCGTTTGTCCGTGTGTCGATCAGTCTCCACCAGTCTCCACTTCCACCGTTAGCATTTTATTAATTGTCAGATCATGTAAGAAAAGAGGAAATTTCATTACAAAAGGTAGAGTGAATGGGAGCCATACGCTTGATATTGCCTTGATAGAATAATTTATTTGTCGAATTAAGCGGTATGTATGGTTCTTTGATATGGTAGACACGGTGTCGCCATCTGTTACAGGGGTTTGAAAGTTTTGAAGGTATTCGGCTGTCTTTTCACCTTACGTCGACCTGTGGACTGATTTCAGGATTCCATATCCCCGCAAATTTAAATAGAGGCATCTAAAAGCCAATGGCGGCTTGCTTGACAGGGCCGCCGAGAGCCAGGCCGGGCCCCAGGACAACTATCTAGATCGGGCCCCGTGACAAGCTCTTCAACAAAAACTTTTCCTCTTCTACTTGAATTGCTTTTTCTAAAAAAAAGGTCCTCAAGCAAAAACTTTTCCTCCTCTACTTGAATTACTTTTTAGCAAAAACTTTTCCTCCTCTACTTGAATTGCTTTAAAAAAAAACACCAAAAACTTCCCCCTCTCGTCTTGTGTCACATTTCTCCTACAAAACAAAAAAAAAACAGTTGCCGGGCCCCCCTTATACCGCTGCCGGGCCCCCATTTCAGTCCGGGCCCCGGGAATTAGTCCCGGCTACCCCCACTCTAGTCGGCCCTGTGCCTGTAAGGACAAATGAAAACTAATTTATACAGGGTGTTCCACAATTCGCTTCCACATAAGTTCCGACCTTAGATGAAAGAGACCGTAGATGTAACATTGCACATCGCACACGTTGTCTATTCCAACCCTAAGTAACCCACCAATTAAAAATCATTGTGTCCACGACGCCACCCGAATTGCTCCGACATTTCTATTCTACGCTCGTCTCCGTGTGAGTAAATCATCATAGACCGCCGTTTTTTGAATTGTTTGTTGGTGTTATTAGCAATTTAAAGTGTTTCAGTTATTCAATTTCAAGTTGAAAATGCCACGATGTATCGTGAAAAATTGTACATACAAATAATATAAGTGCCAATGTTATGAAAAATGAGAAATATATTCGTTTTCAGCGGTAAATATTTATTAACGTTTTGACATAAAGCCGCCATGATCCTTTGGGCTAAATACTTCAGATCCGCATAAATGGGTCTCAATAAATATTAAGCATCAAATACATATTTCAGAAAACATATTTCAAAATACTTACATAAATTTACAAAAGGGCAAAATTTTAAACATTTAATCTAAATAAGAAGTAAATATGCATTGTTACTAACGGAATTTTGTTTTTAAAATGTAGTTTTATATTTACTAAAGATGGTTTTTAGCCCTTTTTGGTAGCTAAATAAGAAGTAAAGTAGCATCGTTGCTAGCGAAATTTTATTTTTATAAGGTATTTTTATAAGAATATTAGATGAAATACAGGATCATCTACTTAAAATTTCAAGGTTCATCTTATTTGCGGTTAAATCGAAAGTGACATTTGAATTTGAAGTCTTAAAACAAAGTAAAACGCACAATATATCTAGTATAAGCAAAAAATACTAAAGTTACGGAAGTTAGTCATATTGTTAATAAAATCTTACATTATAAACCCCTAAACAACTCAAAAATCTTCGTTTACTAAAAAAATCTGAATTCTAACAATATTTATTATTTATTATACAATCGAATGCGGTTTCAAAGATAACAGGATCAAAAAATCCGAATCTCTAAATTTTGGAGCTAAATGCTCGGATAAAAGCAAGCGATCGATAGGGGTTACACAAATAATCGATTTATCGAATATTTTTTATGAAAATCGATTTATTCGTTATAATTAATCGATTATTTTCGATTAATCGAACATTTTCAATAAATTATTTTTTTTTTTTAATATAATGGAATAATCGATTTTAAAGGAATTACAAAAAGAAAGTAGATTTATTCAAAATATTCGATTGATTGAAAATAATCGATTAATCGATTATTTTCGATTTTTCAAAGTTATTCGAATAATTTGTTTTAAAAGAAATATGAAAAAATAGATTATATGAAAATAATCGATTGATCTATTATATCCACAATTCCCAAATTATTTGAATCAATTCTTACTGATGAAATAGCAGCTTCCTTCAAATCTTATATCTCCCCCTTTCAGCATGGTTTTTATTAGAGGCGTTCTACCGCTACTAACCTTTGTTGTTTCCAGGACTATCTATTAACCTCTGTGGAAGCTGGGCACTAGGTGGATGCAATTTACACCGATCTGTAGAAGGCCTTTGATAGTGTTTCTCATCAACTGCTTTTAAAAAAACTCTCCAAAATAGGTATTGCTGGTAACTATCTCAATTGGATAAAATCATATCTAACTAATCGCTTCCAACAAGTTTCATGCCTTTCAAGGTGATCTAGAGAGACTAAACGAGTGGTGCAAGGTGAACCATCTCTCATTAAATACTAGTAAATCCAAGACCATCTAGTTCACTAGAGCGTTAACCTCTTCTCTAAATCAATACAAAATCGGTAATACTGTACTGCAAAATGTCACATCTGTGAATGATCTAGGGGTGATATTTGATATGGAACTGTCCTTTCGAGAACATATTGATTCCATTATCTGTAAAGCTTTCCGGATGCTAGGCTTTATTAAAAGGAATATCCAACATATGTATGATACTAAAGCAATCTTAACATTATTTAACGCCTTGATAGAAGCATTCTTGAATATAGCTCTAGTTTTGTTTCTCTTTAAATTAATTAACGGTAAGATTGACTGTAGCGCCCTTTTACAACTAATTAGCTTTTTGGCACCTACTCGACGTTCACGTCATACTTCATTGTTTTTCATCAGAAAACATAGAACCAACTATGGACAAAGAGCATTTATTGACCGTATGTGCCACATTTACAATAAGCTTTACTCCAACTGAGACCTATTTAACACAATGTTGTATGCGCTAAAGAGTAATTTGAAACTTTCAAAATAATTTTTTTTTGTTTTTTTTTTGAGCCATAATATTTAAACTTATTTCTATGTATGTGATTTTGTGAATGATATTTTTGTGTAGGTATTCTACATACATGTATTTATTGTTATTTTTTTTAACTCTGTGTACCATTTAGAATAATAATTCGGTAGTGTACCTATTTGAATAAATAAATAAATAATTTTATATAATCGATAATCGATGTTTTGGTTATTTTTTAGAATTATCGATTTATCGGTCAATCAGCTTTTTATTAATCGATTATCAAATAATCAATTTTAAAAGAAATATGAAAGAAAAAAGGATTATTTGAAAATAATTGATCATTCGGTTATTTTTTTTGGAAAATCGATTTATCGTAGAATCAGCTATCGATTATTTTCGATATTTCAAAGATGATCGAATAATCGATTTAAAAGGAAATACGAAATACTCGATAATTCGTGTTTTTTTTTTAATCGATTTATCGATTAATCGACTTTTTAATTAATCGATTATTTTTTATTAATCGATTATTTTTTATTAATCGATTATACTCGAGAATCCGCTTTTTTAAAAATCGATTTATCGGTTAATCGACTTTTTAATTAATCGATTATTTTTGATTATCGAATAAGCTGTTTCAATGGAAATACGAAAAAAAAATAGATAAAAATAATAGATTATTTAAAATAAACGATAATTTGTTTATTATTTTTTGTAAACACTGATTTATCGGTTAATTGGCTTTTTAATTAATCGATTATTTTTGAATTTTCAAAGATAGTTTCAAGTAGTTAGATACATTACGTTGTACCTAATAATACCTACCTTATTTTATTTTTCATAAAAGGAATTTATAACGTCTATTCCCGTTCTAATCGCCATCTATCGCCAATTTAGTTAATTAATAGTTTTTGTTATGAATATTGGCGTACAAATTCCGTCTTAAGAGCACATGTTTCGGAAAATCACTGGAGCAGTCACAACATTTTTTTTTAAACATCAAGGGACATAACAGTTTAAAATTTTTTGGGACGAAACCTCATATTTTTGTTTTAGATCGTGTAGGTGTATTTGAAATATTATTTTTTATTGTCATTATTAATCTAAAATTTTTATCAGTTTCTCGGTTCTTTTGAAAATACCCAATAAAGCATCGTGAGCAGTAATCCACAAAAAATGTTTGAAAAATAGGGTATGAAACAAATATAATTCTTCTTATTTTTAAAATTACATTTTAAATTTAACCCAAATGCATGTAGTTATCACGTCATGACTCGTATCTCTATATTTGCCAGACATTACCTACTTTAGAAACATTTTTTGTGGAACACATGTTATAAAAAAGGCATTTAAATAAAAAATGTAAATCATCTTAC